TGGACTTCTTTTAGCAGAGCGCTGCGTCGGAACATGAATCCTTAATTAATTCTTTTGTGCGCCAACTTCTGAGCACGAATCCTTGGACAGGGACTTGCAAGCGTTGCCTTAGATCTATCAGCATTCGCGCGCACTTTGGAGTGCTAGTGGCACAATCGACGTGTGTAAGGAGAGCAAGCTATTCCAGTGCATGGTCCCACAGGTACGAATCCGTTCGGCCCAACAGGTTTCCAGGCAGGTGGCGTAACCTTGTTACAGCAGAATATCATATTAATGATGCGCCAAATGATGGATGCCACGACAGCTGCGAGCAGGGCAGCTGAGGCAGCTGTTGCAGTTGCAAATGCATCAGCCCAGGAGGAGCATTGCGCTTGGATTCAGTGGTTTTGGAGCTTTAAGCAAATACCTTTGTGCCCTGGACGCTAGGTGATGAACTTGCATACATTGAAGGCCCTCCACTTGAAGAGATCCTTGTGTATAATAACACCGAGTCAGAGCAGCGTTCCAACCAGTTGTACCCACTTCTTGCAAGCCTGGTTAGTCTTCAGGTTGGAGTTTAGGTTGAAGGTTAAAGGGTGTTAGGCATTGGGTTTAGGTTCTGTGGTTTGCCCAAAAGAGGCAATTGTTGTGGGCAAAAATGGTTGCCATTTTTGACCCACAAACTTGGCGGATCTTGGAGGGCTTGAGAGGGCCTTCCAAACCCAAATCCTGAGCCCAAAACCCAAAACCTTGACCTAAACCCCACCTCCAAACTCTGAACTAAAAACCCCAAACCTTAAACCCAATGTGCAGCGCACGCCATTGCAGAATAGTTGGTTCAGCTGTTTCAGCCAACAAGCAGAACAGTTCCCTTGGCATTTTGAGCGCATTGACGACAATGGGTCACTTTAAGAGTGGTAAACCTTTGCTTCTCCAAGTTCTAGACATAGAATGCATCATGGATAAATATGAGCGTCGCAGCGGGAAGAAACTTGATGATGATTTTAAAGCCTCCATTTTCTTGAGATCCATCAGCGGCAACATGCAAAATCATTTGGCCACAATCTTGACTGAGGATGTCACTTATGATGTTCTGTGTGAGGCCGCGCTGCGATTCAAGAGGATAAATGCCAAGTGGGATGCCCGAAGCTTGTTGCAGTCTAACAGCATGTTTTCGAAGTCCCGTGTGTCCGATCAAGCTTTAGTGCCGATGGAGATTGATGCTGTTCAAACAAAGGGCAAAGGCAAAGGTAAAGGCAAGCAGCAGAAAGGTGCCAAAGCCAGGAAGGCAAGGGCAAACAGCAGAAAGGTGGCAAATCCCAGAAAGGCAAGGGCAAACAGCACAAAGGTTCAGGCAGGGCCGGCAGCCAGAGAGCAAGGCAGCAAGCAAGGTCAGCCAGGTTCAGGAAAAGGTGCCCAGGGTGTGATTTGCCATGTGTGCCACAAGCGTGGGCACTATGCCGGAGACTGTTGGCATGCAGTGCGTCAGGTCAGGCAGTGTGGCCCCATCGAGTGTCCCGACAACAGCAGGGCCTTCCGTGTCTCAAGCAGCCCAGCCTAGCAGATCACTGAATAGAATGATGGTTGACGTGACGAGCCTTGGAGATTCCATGCCTGGAAGCTCATCCGGTGTTCGTGCTGTGGCCGAGCCAAGCGTAGGGGTTGATAGGCAGCCTGAGGATAGTGCCGATGGGTTTATGGGTTTCCTAGGGAT